TGGCCTACCAAGTGAATTTAGTCTATTGATAAGATAAGAAAATCTCTTTTGCATGTCAGCAATGGTTTCTTCTTGCTCCATGTGAAAGAGATCAAACTCTTGTATTAAAGTATTGATTCTAGCTAGTTTGACATCATTGGTTCCCTCATGGGCAACTTGCAATGAGTCCCACATAGCCTTAGCTGTCAAACAATGAGAAACTCTATAGTATTCTTCAACTCCCAAGGAGGAGATCTGAATATTTTTAGCTTTCCAATCGTAATTATACTTTTTCTCGTCATCATCATTTCATTGTTCTTCAGGCTTAGGCACAATTATGTTATTTTCATCGGTCATGGTTATTTCCATATGACCATTACATTTCATACCTTCTTGTCAATAGAATTTATATGCACACGCATACAGTCTTTCCAGTAACTATAGTTTTCTCCATTGAAAATAGGTGATCTATTATAAGCCCCTTTAGGTTCGTTAGCCATTTTCTACTAAGTTATACTTGAAGCACGGAATGAAGTGGTGCTCCTAATACCACTTGTTAGACGATGGCACAGATCTAGAAGGGGGTTGAATAGATTGCTTGTTAAAACAGAGTCGACGCTACCAAAAATTGGTTTTTAAAATGTTTGAGGCAGAAGCGGCCGAGGAACTATACACGTCTAAAAAGAACGGTTACTAGAAAACCAGATATGCGTAAAGCCTATGGAATTTGATAAACGAGATTTGAGAATCACCACTTTAATCACACTTCAATCAGATTTTGTTCACTATAAGGTGTGACTAGTTCCAATGCCTTTAAAATATAGACAATTTGAAAAGACAGCACACAAAGTTTTTAGTTTACACAATTTATCAAACACTTGGAGTGTAGAGCACTACAAGTCAATTCTTTTTTGAGAATTGAGTGCTCAAGTTTTCTATTACAATCAATGATTGTAATTAGCTTTAAAATAGTTCAGCACAACTTAAATCAGAATTTGATTGACACAATCGTTTGCACTAAAAACTCATAAATTTAGCAATATAAACGTAAAGCAAAAGACACAACGATTTGTTGAGGCAGTTCCCCCATCGCCCTCGCTCGAGGTACGTCTGCCCTCAATTCTAACAATAGAATTGAGACCTGTATATAGATAGATATAACTTGTTGGTCAATGTTTATACAAGAAGTAAATAGATATCAAACAATCAAACATAATTTGTTGTTGTAGAGCCTATTTCTTCTTGCCCCTTGATTCAATTTGAATCAATTCCTTCGAACTTGGTGAGTAAACCTCCGATTACGGCACTCTCTTTGAAAAACCCTCGGTCTTCAAATCTGGCCCGGCTGATTTCAGTCACCCACGTGTCGAACCCGAATCTTCCACTCACAATCCTTTGTTTACCGCTACTAAACCGATAGAACCTTCCGCTCTTCGATTACCGTCGCTCGGCTCAACCTATGATGGACCGATTCGTGCAAAACCCCTAAAATTTGAGATTCTTGGAGGAGAAAACTCTAACGGTTTTATTCAAGAAAAACCTGCCGATTTCTCAACTCAAACCAGATTAAACCAATCTTCGACTTTGGACGTTATCACCTCGAACATGCACAATGCACAACAAAAATGATTATCTGTAGTTGTTGTGAAATGCTATGAAGAGAATGAAGATGATGAGAACCAAATCGATACGTAAATTTCACTTTTCTTGTTTTCTTAGTTGATGTGAAAGGAATAGCACAACTCAACTTATATACAAAACATAACTGACCTAACAAATATAAAAGACTCACAAAACAGTTTGACATAACAGAATGTTGACTTAAAATAGCGAGCGGTCGACCTATGCAGTAAAGGGGTCGACCTGAGCTTACCCGTATACATGATTATGCAAAAATCAGGACCATGCATCGACCGGAGCATGACATACGTCGATGCACAACATGCAAATTTAGTCAGATAAAAATGGTCACAGTATGAGTCGACCGGAGGATCGACGGGAGCTCTCCTGAGAGTAATTCATTAAAATGACTAGTTGTATGAGTCGACCGGAGCAGGCTTTGAGTCGACTCAAAACCCTGAAATAGGCAAAAATGCCAATTTTCATGCATTAAGACTCTTTTGATGAAACGTAGAGTATGGCAAGCAGGACCAACTAAGCCAACTCTATTTGAAATATATATTTGGCCATCTCTATATGCAACAATCATGTTTTTGACGAGTGTTTGACTTATGAGAGACAAGAGATGCAAATATGACATGGTGACAACGTCCAACATACATTTTTCTATGGAGCTGAGTTTTGACATCATTGAAACGAGCGCATCTATCTATGAGGCTTTGCCCTCACACTCTAATCACACAAATGGGTTCTCATATGGTTTTTTTCTCATGATTCAAATAACTTAATTTTCCTACTCGAAGTATATATCTTGCTTATGACTTGTATCATACACCATTTTTTACTCATTTTTGTGCTAGATCTCCAGCACATATAAAAGCATTTTCTCTCAAAACCTCTCACAATGTTAGCAAATATACACTTCCAATATTGATTTTAAAACTCACAACTCAATTTTTCTATCATTTTCAAAAAGTGTTTTGAATCTTTCTTTAGTGCTTGCAAACGATTTCTTTAATATTCTACCTCATTATAATTCCATTTTCATATGGATCTAAATATCATATATTGATATTTGTGATTGTTGAGTAGATTTTATTATTGTGCTTATCGTTTCTTTGAAGATTTTCTTGAGATTTCAGCGGTTTGTATGGTGTATGGTGTCATGGATTGTTTTGACAAGTCTAGCAAAAAAGAAGGAGGTTCTTCTTTACACATTCACTTTGATAGTGTTGTGTGAAAGCCTACGGATAAAGTAGAGTTTTTCTCAATCTTCAGACAGAACAATGCTCAAGATACCGATAGGATCAACGAAAGATCGGTGCAGGAAAAAGACTTTGGAGCGGAATTGTTGGGGATGAAAGACTCAATAGGATTTGGAGTAAAGATTTCTCAAGGATTCTGTTTGGATACTATGTATAAGTCAATAGATAGAGATAAAATATTTTATATTTATAGCATTATTTGGATATCATGATAGTACTAAACATGGTGTAATTTGTCACAAACTATATTGGAAACCAATACAAAGTGGAGTGGGCTTAGAGAGGATAACAGCTGAACAATTATAGTGTACTTCTCTCTCTCTCTCTCTCTCTCTCTCTCTCTCTCTCTCTCTCTCTCTCTCTCTCTCTCTCTCTCTCTCTCTCTCTTTTAAAGCACATGAGCAGAGAATGGAGGAAACGAATGCTGATAAGGCAAAGGAGGAGATCTCTTTGAAAACTCATTTCAATGAGAGAAACAAGAAGGCGGATGGAAAATGTCCCATGAGCAAAGATAGAGAGAATTTTTATAATTTTGGTGGAAGAAAGTCCCAAAATTCTAAGAGTTCAATATTTCAAAAGGGTGAAAACAGTGGTAGTATGGTTGATGGATCAAACAACTCTAGAGGAGGCAATCTAAGAGGTAAATATTGAAGAAGAATGGTTGACAAGAGTAGCGTGTAGTGCTTTAATTGTCAAAAACTCGGCCATTTTGCAAGAGAGTGTAATTCCAATAAGAAATAACCTCAAGAAGAAGAAGATAGGGTTGCAAGGCAAGAGTTTGATGATGAGAAAACACTCTTGATCATGATCACAGAAGGGGAATGCAATGGCAGCAGACTACAGGACAACAACAACAACAACAACAACAACGGTTTGAAAAATGCTACAAAACCATATTGTAACTGTTTACTAAAAACACTATAAAACCATATTGTAACTAGTTACGTAAATGTTGTAACTGGTTACAAACTGAAGAAAATACAATGGTGACTTTGAAAGAAGGAATGTTGTGCAGCGATCAATGGTATTTGCACTCTAGATGTTCATGATAGGGAGGAAGTATTAGTTTGTTACAATCAATTGTGCTATAAAGTGAAATTTGCGGATGATACTCCTCTCACACATTTTCATATATAATGAGCTTTTAACAAAAGTTAGTTAAGGGACCACATTGAACTTTTTCTTTTTTATAGTAAAATTTCATTCATCAAATTAAACCTTACATTGAATACAATACGTTGTTGTGTTTCTTCCATTTCATGCAATGCTTGTGCCAAAAGGCCCTTTTCTCGTTTGGAATTAACAATGATCTAAACTGAATTTGATAACCGTTGTCACCTATTTTGCAAAAACAACTAAAAATTTTGTGAGGAATGAGTTTGGGTGAATCTTAAATTGATTTGGGAAGAAGTGACGTGTGGAAGGGTTTCAACAAAGTACATACAACTCATTTGACTGTTGCCACATCAGCAAAAGTTAATGTCGTCTACCACTCACTTAACTTAGATAAATTAAGGGATCAACTTGAATAATTTTAAAGTTAAGAGATGAAATTGAACTCTAAAAATAAGTTAAAGGAACAAAAAGGTATTTAAAGCTTTTTTTTATTTCTCTTTTACCGTTGTTTTAAACACGCAAATGGCGTAATAAAGAAGTTTGTAAAATGCTACATAGGTGAGTGAAGTTGAATTTATGAGATGAACGCATGCTAAGTATATATGCTTAGAATCAAGTTGAGTTTTTTTTTTCTTCAAGTAATCTAGTTATTGAGAATTCATTTTTTAAAAGATGAATAACCGATCATCAATATTGTCAAAGAGGTTCAGATTCATTGACAATAGTTGTAATAAGCATTGTATATGATTTCCAACTCTCCAATAACTTGAGTCAAAAAACTTCCTAATAACACAAGTTTCATCTCAATAGAAGTAGCTAAAATGTATACGTATAAGCATGTTTCAAATATATAGCACATTAACATTGTGAAGTAGTTTGGGGTGTATAACTAGATCCCCAAAACAAAACAAAAAACAAGGGTTAACCGCTTTGAACTCCATAATAGCAGCAGAAGAAAAACTAGATGAGTCACAGTTATCAAGTTTTTAGAAATACAAATATACAGCACATAGTCTAGATTCAATACTCTGTTTCCAGGACACCGTCGAGAAGACCAATCTCCAAAGCCTGAGATGACAAGAGGCAGATACAAAAACATCTGGTAAGAAATCTTTTAACAGTAAAACAATTAGGCTTAAGTACAGTTTTTGTTAATATGGTTTAGTTAGAAATTTGATTTCTTGCTGAGATACTGTTTAGAAATTCTAACAGAAACATTTGATGTTCCTGTCTATACAGTTGTAAAAAAATTCATTTCTTGCTAGAAAGAGAATATCATCGTTTAATTCATTTTTTGTTGGAAGGAGAATATTCGGTTTTTTAGAGAAATTGTTCTATGACGCATTAAATTCTTATTTCAGTTACAGAAGAAAAACAGTTGGAGTTACCTCAGAAACAGATAGAAAATTATCCCTCTCTGTGTATTCTTGCACCTTCTCTAATGGTAGTCCAGTGAAAGCACAAAACATCTGATCCATTTTCTGTACTCAAAACAAAAGGGGAAGAAGAGGAACTCAGGCCTAGCTTTCCAAGAAACATTAGATAAACTATAACAAGCAGTAGAACCAAGAAAATGTTGCCTTGGTAACTTGAGCATGAAGAAATCAAGTAAAATGAAGTTTCTAGTTTCATATATACTGAAAATTATAACTTAATATTCTTCTGCAATTAATCAAATTTCTAATGGCTCATTCTGTTGGACAGCTCATGAATGGTTTTATATCTAGCACACCCCTTCACACAAAGCCATTCGAGCTTCTAGCATGGTGGAGCAAGGTTGTCAAGATCGGGAGGGGATAAAAACATAAGACCGTAACTACGATCGGAAGATCCAACATTTTACATTTATAAACTAGTTCAACCGCTAATTTTACCGAACACTATAAATTAGCTAGTTTATCAGCTATAAACTATTAACTATAAGTTATCCACTATTTTTTACCAAATAGAGCCTAAGCATAAGATATAGTAGTTTTCAGGTAACAAGAATTTAAAGAGGCAGTGCATGATAGTGCATTCTCAAATCCCAACACTATATCTTCAAGGATTGTCATAAATAAAACTCTCTCGGACAAGACTTAACGAAAAATCTTATTTTCAGCAAAATCAAGTTCAGCTGAGCATTTTGCAATTGTGCAACTTCAGAGGAAGAAAGACTAACATGGCGGGATTGAACAGCTTCATTCACTAGACGTTTCACATCCTCAACATGACCCTACAATCAAATTAAGAACAATTTCAATCAGGAAGCCTATTGAGTATTGACCAAAAAACTTCACATAATTAACAATAAATCAACCTGTTACCTGTAAACCAAAATTACTTCACAGTGGTTTTTCATGTAAGAAAGAACAATATATTTTCATTTGTTAAGGTATATACATCTATATATCAAATGCCAAACTACATAGTGCATGATATGATTAAATTGAAGAAAAAAAAGGCTTTGAATAAAACATTTACATTGGAAGAGATTAAATTTCTAACATAACTTCTAGATAATCCATTGCAGCTTCTCCAAAATAAAAGAAAAAAAAGGCTGGGCCACACCCAACTTAGTTCATCAGCCTTAATCTCTCGAATCAGGAAATTTCTGTCCTCTAGTTTTATAGAAATTTGTAAACTGACGGGAGGTAGGAGTACAGTGTTCATTTGATTATTTTGCTCAAAGACTAAATAACGCAATTCCCATTTCATTACTATAAAACACAGGACCATATTGTCGTTGTTATTATCCTCTTCCAACATCAAATTGGTATCAACTTTTTCTTTTTCATAATTTGTCAGCTCCTAAATTCTAAAGTGCATCTTCTATAACAAAATTTCAAAAGCTTGACTCTTACCCCAAATCCACATCGTGGTTGACCCATCATAATGCGAGCATTTGGCATTGAATAGCGCATTCCCTTCTCCCCGCCTGCAAGGAGAAGTGTTGCTTGGCTGGCAGCTACTCCGAAACATATTGTACCAACCTTTGGCTTTATCTGAAAAAAGAAGTCACCAAAAATGCTTTCAAGGTAAAAACATTGACAACTAACTATTAAGGATTTAAAATAGCTAGCAAAGGAATGACAAAACCTTTATCTTACCCAAGACATGCAATCATAAATTGCAAGCACCGAGTATGTGTTTCCACCAGGGGAATTTATGTACATCTGCCAGTAGAAACAGCTCAATATGAATCCCAGTTTAGGATTGATTAAAGGTCAAATAACAGTGTTAAATCAAAACAAACCAGTATATCTGCATCTGGATCAATAGTAGCCAAAGTCACAAGCTGCGAAATAACTCTCTGAGCCACTTGTCCGTTAACTGGTTGTCCTAAGAATATTATACGATTCCTGAACAGAACAGATGAGAGATCAATAGCTCCTCCAGGAGTCATCACTGCTGGTGTTATTGGCGGGTTCCCCTTCTTGGCTTCAATTACACCATAGCTACAAGTAAACTGGAATATCAATAAGTTGTTCTTCATTCATTAATACTTCAAAAATAACGTAAGAGACTAAACATTAAATTCGTATTTCAGAGGTTCCTTTTTGTATCAAAAGTTCAAGGATAAAATGTACAGATCAAATTAGCTAAAAATAATACCCCTTTACAGTATAGCTACAATGATAATATCCCAAAGACTACATGTTTTGTTTGGGAGTTCGGAGGAGAGGGGAAGAGAGGGCTTCGAAAAATGATTTTTTTTTAAAATATAAATAAATCTTTACCATTTTCTGAAAAACGATTTTGTTTAGAATAACAAAAGTGTGCTTATCATTAATATATTTTTACTTTTTGAAATACTATAACAGTAAAAATTATATTTGAACAATTTGCCTTAGCCTTCTAAAATCCTTCTTCAATACAAATTTTGAGTTCCCCCAAATTAGAGGGTTTTTTGATGTTATGAATAAAACCAAACCCTACATAGTCTTTCCAACCAAAATCCTGTTATTCTTTTCACTCAATCCTTTATACCTTTGCACTTACCTTTCCACTAAATAATCACATGAGTCATGAAAATGGACAATAATTATTAAAAATTGAGTCAGGTCTAACTCATCCCTACAAAACGGTATGTAAGGTGAGTGATGCCACTTTTTATAAAGTCTTTTCACGCTCTATCTTTAATGAACGTGGGACTTGGGTTTTTCCTTATACACCAGCTTGTAATTAGGGAGTGTCACTTTTAATAAACTATTTTCAAACTCTATCTTTAATCAATGTGAGACTTAGGTTTTTCCCAATAACCCCTCACACGCTCACGCCCAGCACCATATAAAAATTTGAGTGACCTAACTCATCCCTAAAAACCGGTTTGTAAAGTGAGGGCTCTCAGTCTTTATACTTTTTTCAGACACTATCTTTAATTAATTTGGGAATTGGATTTTTCCCAATAATAAATGTATTCAAAAGCACCTTACCATACAAATACATTATAAAGCTAAAAAAGTGTACCTTGTACTAACATCATGTGTATTCTTCTCATCAAGTTTTAAACGAAAACCATTGGTTTTACTTGATAACCCTGCATAAATCAAAAACATACACATCACACTAACAAAATAACAACTAACATTTTTCATTTCAACAAAAATCATTGTTATGAATGAAACCCCAATTTTCTGAAAGTAAACTCATGGATTAGTATCTGAAATTACTGAAACTACAAATTTCGAATTGCAACCAAAAGAAAACTGATTAAATTGGAAAATTACCGATTTTGGATGAATGAACATAGGGGCTTGGCAAGGAAGAAGCTACCGTGCAGGGGTTTCTGCAATTATTTTCAAGATTTTACAGAAAATAAATGCAAAAAATTTAAATAAAAAGGTGGAAGTTGCAATTGGTAATTCATATGAATATGAATGAACCTGTGAGAAAACGCAAGTTGGGAAGGGATTTTGGTGTGAGAAGCGATGGTGAAAGTGGGAAATGCAGGAACTGTTAGCGCTTGAGATAGCATTGTTTGAAACTTTTTGTGAAGCTCCAAAACGAGGCGTTATTACACAAACACGGAGTTTTATTCCATCTCATCTTAAATTCAACTAAGCCCATTGCAAGTGATCGATCCTTTTGGGCTATTTTGGAGCATTCCCTCCGCTTGAATCGGGCACCCCCATTGTGTATGAATAATAGACAATATTATTTCTATATAAAAAATTTCAATCATTTCGAAATTGACAGAGTGAATTTCATTTCTACGAGGAGATATTAGAAATTTCGATTCTTTTAACAGAAATTTCAAAATCAGTACGTTTTTTTACAGCAAATGTCTAAATTTCTAGAATTTTGTATCGGAAATTTTAAATTTTTAATATTAATGAAAACATTTTAAATTTCCGGTATAAAATTATCTGAAAATTTCAGAATTTCCGGTAGTTATAAAAACGGTTCTTTATCGAAAATTTTAGAATTTTTGGTAGTTATAAAAACTTTGTTTTTTTACCGAAAATTTCATAATTTTCGGTAGTTAATAATTTTTATTTTTTTTCCTTCTTTTGCAGTGAAATACAAAGGTATGGATGACACTATTGCAGGCAGAGCGACAGATAGAGCGACAAACCAAACTAGGACTGCTCAGGTTGAGTCTTCCCAGATACGGGTTGGACGAGTGGTTCCAACCAGTTCAAACCAGAAATGGTTAGATGAGCAAGGTTAGTTTTGTGCACCTTGTAGCATTCGACATCGACCAGTACGATCAGTTGAGCAGCCCAAGATGAGGTGGTCCAGTCAGATGTTGCTGTTGCAGATGAGGTGGTCTAGTCAGATGTTGTTGTTGCAGATGTGGTGGTTGTTGAGGTGGTTACTGATGTGGTGGTTGTTGAGGAGGTGGTTGATAAGGTGATTGTTAATGAGATGGTTCATGATGAGATGGTTGATGAGGTCGTCCAGCCAGATGATGTTGTTGTTAATTCGGTCTCATATGTTACTACTGAGACAGAGGTTACGACTCTTTTGACTGAGCCCTCTGTGCACACTGATGGAAGATTTCCTTGAGGACTCATTGACCGATCGGTGCTTACTGAGTATGTTATCCATGTGGTGTATCAATTATGACAGAGAGAGAGAGAGAGGTATATGTCTTTTATGTTCAAATTTAATTTGTTTATTATTGTGCCATGAAAACTAATTGCTAATTTTTTTAAAAAAAAATTTGTTACAAGACCGTATCCCATTGAAGGTGACATTGCACGAGTCGAAGTTGAAGAAATTCCCGTAGTTTCTGATGCTTGGAGAGGTCATACAGATTGTACGTGATGTTAGACGATGACACAGATCTAGAAGGGGGTTGAATATATCACTTGTTAAAAACAGAGTCGGCGCTACCAATATTTGATTTTAAAAATTTTTTAGGCAGAAGCGGTCGAGGAACTATATTCGTCTAAAACGAACCTTTAGCGAAAAAACCGGATATGCGCAAAGCTTACGGAATCCGATAAAAACGAGATTTAAGAATCGCTAATTTGAACACACATCAACCAGAATTTATTCACTATAAGGTTTGACTATTCCCAATGCTTGAAAAAATATAATCAAATTGAAAAGACAGCACAAGCATTTGTTGTTCACACAATTAGTCAAACACTTGGTGTGCAAGGCACCACAAGTGAATTCCAATATGAGAGTGAAGTGCTTAAGTGTTCAATTACAATCAAGGATTGTAATAGGCTTCAAAAATGGTTCAGCACTACTCACATCAGAATTTTGATTAACTCAATTGTTTGCACACAAACTCAGAAATTAAGCAATTGAAAAGTAAAGAGAGAACACCAATTTGTTGAGGCAGTTCCCCCGTCGTCCTCGCTCGGGGTACGTCTGCCCTCTATTCTAAATTTAGAATTGAGACATGTATATAGATATAACATGTTGGTAAATGTTTACAATAGAAGTAATAGAAATCAAACGATCAAACACAATTGTTGTGCAGAGCCTATTCCTTCTCTTCCCTTGATTCAAGCTGAATCAGATCCTTCGAACGCGGTGAATAAACCTCCAATTACGGCACACCCTTTGAACAACCCCACGGTCTTCAAATCTTGCCCGGCTGATTTCAATCACGAACGCTTCAAAACACGTAAGGCTCTGAAACGTTAGTAACAAAGTGATACATTTGGATAACACGTAAGAGCGAAGATCTGCTCTGATCTAAAGCGCTCCTCTGGATGAATGTTTTGTTAAAACAATCACGCTAGTACTAAGCTGCAGAACTCTAGAAGAGAGTTGCTCTGATAAGAAGAAAATGGAACATCATCAGAGGATCTGATGCAGGAAATATTTCCATATTCGTTCATTTAAAAAGATGTTGATCAAGAAAGATTCATTGCCAAATTCATTGTCTACATCCAACGGTATTATTCCTCTTTTATGTATGGGACAGGATTTCAGAACAAAAAGGATATCTCTGAACATTCCTCTCCTGGAAAGAAACAGTCAAAGAAGACAAAAAGCATGTGCACGCTATTTGAGAAATGGGTATATTTAAACAAGTCTTCAACAACAATGAAAAGAACATCATTCTACAACAAACACACTACCTTGCTGAAAAGAAAATCCTACTTTGCTACCACTTCCAAGTCAACTTCATATTAGCAAATAGAAAGTTTCATTTATCTTCATTTGTGTTAAATCACTGTTGTGAAAAAGCTTTTCTAAGAAGCACTTAAACACACTTTATTGTATTACTTTGTAAAAGATCCTTGAGAGACCAAGTCGTGGTCAGTATTCTCGAGAAGACTAAGACAAGTTTGTCTTAGTGAAAATATTGTAATCAGTTTTTGATTATTGGATTAAGTCCTCTTTTGAAAGAGGAGAAATCACCTTGGTCGAGTGGACTGGAGTAGTTTGAGTTCAAACGAACCAGTATAAAAATACCTGTTATTTTTATTGCCTTATTTGTTTTTGAAAACCCTTATTCAACCCCCCTTCTCAGTGTTTTCCTTCCTTCAATATCCTCTAGTTGATCTTTTATATATTCATCTTCGTCCACTCTTTGAATTTGTGATGCCTAACTTTCCTCTTTATCCACCTCACCATGTCACATCCATATTATATAATTTTGACATATACCATCACAACAAAGGTGATGGAATATTTCTTTCTTTGTACCCTTTTTGATATTCGCTCAAATAACACAAGGATAATAAAAAATACCATTATTATCGGGAAGATGTTTATCAGCATAGTCAAGGAATTCAAGAACTCCGTTCTCATAAATCAAACATAATCTATCGACTTTCATCTAACTACGATCCATAACAACTTCTGAAATTCATACAAGTATAATAATGTGAATGACACACAAAATTCTAATCCAAAAACTTAAGCATATGCATATGCAAATCTAAACCTAAAGCATATGAAACATGTACTCTCATACTCACTTGAGCATATACAACATAAACAAAGAAAAAAGGAATGAAGATGTTGAAGAATATTGTACTTCGAAGTTGAAGATGAAGGTGAGATAATACTTCGAAGGGGGGGGGGGGTTGAATAAGTATGAAAGATTAAAACTTAGAATTAAAACACAATTATTTTTATCCTGGTTCGTTGAACTCAACTACTCCAGTCCACCCATCCTAGAGTGATTTGCCTTTCTCAATCAAGGACTTAATCCACTATTTAATCAACCAGATTACAATAGTAACACCTAAGAACAACTGTTCTTAGTCTTCTCAAGAGCTACTGATTCCAACTGAATCCTCTTAAGGAAATCCTTTACAATCAATGCAAATCTAATACAAGAGTAATAATGCTTCTAATAAGCTTTTATCACAACAGTGATATTTCTCTTAAGTTTAAGTACAATGAAATTAATTCTAAGAATAAATATGAGAGTATGAGAGCTTGAATGTTTTAATTCTTTTTCAGCAAGATGTCTAACTGAAGAATTTGGTGGAGTCTTGCTTTTATAGGCAGCTGATCCAAGGTGAGCTGCACGTTGAGAAGAGTGTCCCAAAAGGTCTGAGCCTTTTTGTCTTCACATCAAGTGACCTTTCCTGGAAGAAGAAAGCACATAAAAATCCTTTTTGTTTGTGTCCTTGTGTCTAGCATAAATGAGGAAAGAGATGTTTGATTTACTCCAACGGATATAATCTTTGAATATTTCTTCTTCAGTTTTCAGCAAGTTCATCAGAGTCTGATTGGGTCAAAGTCTTCTAATGATGATCAGAACTTTGCTGGATCAGAGTCTTCTGCAGCATGTGTGCTTTCAGCGTGTTAAACATCAGAGCATATTTGAAACAGAACTTCAGTACTGGCAGCTTTAGTACTTTTAGAATCTTCTGTAGAAACTATGCTTTGAAAAACACTTCATACAATATTCTTCTTTGCTTCAGATGCTTCTGCTTGCTTCAGATTCTTCTGGAGCTTCTGCTTCAGAATCTTCTGGAGCTTCTTGCCTCAGATCCTTCTGGAGGCTACGCTCAGGATCTTCTTTCAGCAGCAATCAGAATCTTCTAATGTATGCATCTGGCGCTACAGATTCTAGCTAGTTTCTTGTATTCAATTCTGATTTGCTTCTGGAGTGTTAATTTCTTTACTATCTGCAGTAAAAAACTCTCAAGCAAATTTTAGAGTATATAATTCTTAAATACAAAATTTCCTAATAGTTATCATCAAAACATAGAGATATTATTAAGAACCAATCTGTGTTCTAACAGAAGAATCTTATCCACGTAAGGAATGAAGATGTTGAAGAGTACCATAATTCGAAGCTGAAGAATCAAATGAACGAAGAGGGTGAAGATTTGAGCTCCAAATGAATGGATACAAAGAGGGTAAATATTACGCCACCGTTGTCGTCTCTGGCTCGCTTGTTCGCCTAGGGCGTCTTATGAAAGAAAGACATAATAAGTTTTGTTTTAATTTATCAGTAAACCCTTTAATTGCGGTTGGACAACCCAACCGTAGTGGAATTGTAAGTCCTCTAAGAACGGTTGGTTTACTTCACCATTCTAAAAT